TTTTTGCCCCCCCCCCCACCTATAGACAAACCTCTCTTGAGGCCTGTCAAACCCACGATGTCACTAATTTACAAAGGGACCTGCCCGCGTTATTTTTTGAGCCACAAGGAAGGTTCATATCGCTAGATTACACGCTCTCACAAATGTTTTCGTTGTTCTGTGCAGAGGTTATTGCATATCGCACCAAATAAGCTTGATCTGCAACGAGATCCTCTGAATGAGAGTGAATACTTTGGAGCTGAGAACTGTAGCTACAGGCGCTTCTAAGACACAAGAAGTCTCTAGGATTTTCTTCGTCCTCCCTTACCACGAGCACTGACCAATGTTTCGATTTTCTGACATGGTGGGAATCGATCGATAGGTTGGGTTTTCTTAGCATCCACTGCTTGACGAATATCATCGTTACCTCTCTCATGCACTGTCGTACATGTAGCCAGACCTTCTTTGTCAATCTGAGCAACCGCCGCATCAGCACACGGACCACTGGCCTGCGCGAACCCGAGATAGTTGTAGGAACTAACGTTGATTACATTAGTTTTAGTTCCTGGGTATCTATAAATTACCATTATATTCTGCGCACTGCTAACGTGAGGAGTGCAATAATTAAAAGCCGAGAATACCTACTTGTAGGTCCAGTTACAGTCGTCAGAGGTCCTGTCAATGAGATTTACGGTGGCTCCCGGCACGGAACCAATCGGTCGTTCGAACACGTCCCGAACTCGTACGTAGCAGTTTCGCGAATATACAGATTCAAAATCTGCGAATAGCGGCGCGAAATCCTTAAAGTTGTTTTAGTTGCATTACATAGATCCACTGAGGACCGGCTTTACAAGGCTCCTTTCTAGCAAACATTCTCCTTCCAGGGTTAGTCGATACGTAGAGTTCTAACATATCACGTAATTACCTTTTGTTTATCAAGTTCCTTGCTGGCTTTATCGTTTTCAAGTCCCCATTTCCGTAAAGCTTCTCGAATATAGGCGAATACGAGCAGCACGATCCATGAGAAGTAGACAGAAAGTTTGGAAAAGCGGCTTAGCTGAAGATGAAAACTTCTTCACCAGGCAGCCATTTGGTATGGTGCATTGCAGAGGTCATTTTGAATCTTTGCATCTAGTGTACGTTCCGAACGCGGCGGGGCTAGTAGTAGGAAGATCACTCACATGTTCGAATTCATTAGGTGCCCTGTCGGTGACTTTGCCGTAAATGTCTCGCACTTTCTCGTCTTCAAGTGTGAAGTCAGATCGTTTCGGGATCTTGAATAAGTTGCACAATGACTATTGACAAAGTTAGGCATATAATATGAACCTGCTTTTTGGTCCTATTTGGTGACATTCAGAGCTTATCAGCTACATTTTTGTGCTCACTTACCTTTGCAGCCTCTGGTTCGTCACTCTGTTCGTCCGACTCGTTCGATTTGTCGTGACGCTCTTGCCAGGCACATTCCAGAATATTAGTTCGATCTTCTAGTTGCCTGTGCATAAAGTCGTCAATACATATCGCACCGTGTGGCTTGGACATGTTGCTGAAGGGCCAATGTTTCGCAAAGGCAGAGTGCAGCGCTGGTGCGCCGAGTCAGACCACCGTGCAAGGGATGAGTGAGATGACCGATAAGCGCAATGATATCACAGGCAACAAAAATTCCACCTTTCCGAAACCGCATGTCCAAAAAGTCGCCCCGTTTCTACTAATCAAAGAGCAGTGCGATGGCGGTGGTGCGGTTATCAGGTCATTTGCAGTGCTATCTGCGGAATGTTGGTAATAAGTCACATAGTTAGTCACATCGTATCACCGCAAAATGGCTACGGGGAAGTGCACTGAGTTGACCGAGCTCGTGCGATAATTGTTAGAGGAGTCAGAAAGGCTATGTTTTTCATCATCTTCAAATATTGTTGTTTTAGAAGTTTAGCGCTTGAGTTCCGAATCAGGGATGTCAAGACTCAGTTCAGAAGATTACTCAGTCTGCGGTATAATTCAGTTCCGGGGGTATTGGCTTGATCGCTGCACCTATTCAGGAGGCGGCATGAAGCGGACAGCTCATTAGGATCGGTGATTTAAAACAGAAGAATGATAGTCTCATTCGCCAGAAAGGACTCTATGCCTCTTATGAGTCGGTGTCCTGATCAAGAAAGTTGCTTCGGAGAAGGAAACATGTGCAGGCTAATGATCCACCGCAAGTTGATGTAGAACTATTCGTAATGAAGAGTGAGTGCATCCAAAGTGAATACTTCCGCGATTCTAACAATTAGGCTGTCCCAAATTGGTGATACACTGTGGCTGTTTCTCGATTTCAGTTAGATTTTACACCTTTTCGGTAGTAATTTTTTGGCGATTCCCGGTGTAAACCCAATCCCTTATTCTGCCAACATCTCAGAAGTATCGAATTATGAGGTTAGGCTTTTGCAGTCAGACCTCCTCAATCTAGGCTTCCACCGCTTTTAGGTTGGTTGGTACACTAACTACCAGTCTACACCTCTGGTGCATATGTCGGATAATCAAAGGAATAAGTTTGAAGCTGATTCGGGATTAGAGCAGAGTTCAGAACTGAACATTTCCGAAATCTTAGCTACTCTGTGAAATTGTCTCAGTACAGTCCCATTGGAAGCGCTCTAGGCAAATAACGGCTTCTATGTCTAGTTTCCTTTTAGGTATTTTCGGGTACAGCAGTGAGATTGCCAATCGCGACTTGGTTGGAGGGCAGATCATTTTCTTACGAGAAAGCCGACCATTATACGGGTGAACCACATGTGTACCGTGGATTGAGGGAGCTTAGCTGCGCCTGTCTTCTGGTTGGTCCTACATGTTGCTTGGCGTTTGAAAGATCCTGATTGGAAAGATGAAGAAGGAAGCTCAAAAGGTTTCAGAAAAATTAAAGTATTGGTAATGGGAGACGGTATTAAAAGGGCTGATCGATTGATCGGATAGGCCAATGTGGGTGCTAACTCGGGGGAAGCACGTTTCATGCATTTAACTTTTTTCTAGGATTCCTACAGCAACAAATGTTAATTCCTAATATGAGACAACCTGATAGCAGCCAAGTGCGTGATGCAGTGCGAAAAGGTTGCTGAGAGTCAAAAGTTTCATTGGTTCATTTTACATAGTGAATCACTGAACACTGATAATTAGCTTTTCCATCGCGGAAAAATACTATCCGCATGAACTCAAACAAGATAATTGCTGGGTTTTAATTATCGCTAACTATTTGTGAGTGCCCACCGCTCATACACAGCCGCTGTGATTTTCTGTATGTTTTCGTGTCTCCTGCTTTCATCCTTCTCCAATTTTTCGAATTCGCCTGACGAGCCCTGCAAATCGCACGTTTGTGTGTGTTCAATCAAAATCCATTTTTTATGGGAATCGTTCAAATGAACTTTTCACAAAGGTGTTTAAGCAGTATTTAAAAATTTGTAAATTATGATGAGGGTCAAAGGAGCAGGTAATCTAGTTTTCATTCGTCACTGAGTGGTCGAATAGTCAGTAATAAACCCTTGGAGTATGTTTCTGATCTTGAAATGAAAAATGTGAACTTTCTTGAATAGGTCTACCCTTTTATAAATGCGGTCTGCTTTGAGCATCCAAGCGAGGACAAAACAGGGTTCCTTTCTTGCACGTATCAGGAGTTCTGAACACCGT